ATCAGGGGACTCACACGAGATAGGCAAGCAACCGCTATGCCACGTAAATCATTTTCACGTACGAATGACCAAGTGACTAGTCGTCGTGCCGTACTACAAACTGCACACACTGACATGCGTCTGTGTAACGTATTTGTGGTTAGAGCAGAGCCACGAGTGCATATGAAGGCACACTCACCCCACACCTCTCTCTGTTGTGTGCACCTGAGCACACGACCAACCCGTCGCTCCATCTCTTTCCCCCGTACACTCAGCTCTACTACCATCTCAGAGCGCAGATAGCGTTGTCCACAGACGCACACACAGACATGCACGCGGCAGACAAGCAACTGGAAGAAGTGCTCAGAAGTGCTGTGAGTGGCGGTGGTGTGCGTGTGTTGGAGGTATCAGATGATCCTAAAGAACGTACCATAGCCCGCATACTCACGCACAGTGTGAGTATTGGAGTTATCAGAAAGGTGTGTTGGATTGGATTTAGGGTTTTATAGATTTGTATGTATTGGGTTTAGGGTTTTAGAAGTGTGTATGTATTGGGTTTAGGGTTTTAGAAGTGTGTACGTATTGGGTTTAGGGTTTTAGTAGTGTGTATGTATTGGGTTTAGGGTTTTAGAAGTGTGTATGTATTGGGTTTAGGGTTTTAGTAGTGTGTATGTATTGGGTTTAGGGTTTTAGTAGTGTGTATGTATTGGGTTTAGGGTTTTAGTAGTGTGTATGTATTGGGTTTAGGGTTTTAGTAGTGTGTATGTATTGGGTATAGGGTTTTAGAGGTGTGTATGTATTGGGTTTAGAGTTTTGGAGGTGCGTTTTGATTGGGGTTGTCCGAATGGTATAATGTGTGTGTCTACAGACGTGCACATATGAGATTATTTTACTGGCTGGGTTGGTGTGGGTGTTTTAGGGTTTTAGGGTTTGCATGTATACACCCTTCTCAATGGGACATATAATTGCCGGAGTTCCCGAGTGACTCTGAAGACCAACCAGACATGTCTGTACGCACACGTTGTGACCTTGTGAGGTTTGTTCAAAGTGGTTGTTTTGTGGAGGTCATCACACAGATACGTTGTAGGACAATCCACACACATAATCAACCTGTATATGAAGGATATAAAACACACACATAACTGACCTGTATATGATGAATATAAAACACACACATAACTGACCTGTATATGATGAATAAAAAACACACTCGCAACCAACCTGTATATGATGAATATAAAACTCACTTGTACTCAACCTGCATACACTGAACCCAACCCATATACCCCAAACTATCCTGTGTGTGCATCTCTTCCCCACTCTCAGGCCATGTTGGTTGTGATGGCTTATCCGCGGGACTACATGCCCATTGACCGATCAAAGTACATCGACAGTCTCCTGTTCGCAGCCGAAACCCCTGGGAAGATCCAGGCGGTCCTGCAGGTGTTTCCGGGTGCACCTCTGCGAGAAAAAATGAGCCAGGAATGGACCAGGACATATGTAGTTACAGGCACGAGGCGTGGTAGTTACACAGACACGCAGGAAGACGCTGGGTTGAGCACGGGCACACAAACAGATCACACGCACACAGACGATACATGCACACACACACACACACACGGGCAAACAAGTGGTGTACAGAGTGTGAGTATACAAACGTCTGCTAGCAGGGAAGCACACGGTTGCTATGACGACCGGGGAACCCACAAGAGTGCCGGTACGATATGGGAGGGCTCTGGCCAGGTTGTGGCAAGTGGGAGCATTTTAGAACGGGATGGGTTGAGAAGTGCGTCTACGAGGAATACGAACAAAGTGGGAACGGGTGAAAAGACAGTGGTGCTAACAGACCATGTGATTGGCGAACCATTGAAATACGGCTAAGCCTTTCAGTACTAGTCAATTAAAAGAGACGTATGGTTTAATACTGGGTCGTAGAGCTAGTGCTATGTATCTGTCGAGACTATATGAGATACTAAACAAACACACACACACACACACACACACACACACGCACACGCACACATACACCTATATATATAT